TGAATTTCCAACGCCAGGATATGGCACTTCCTTGCCTTGCTTTTTGAAAAAATAACTTTTAAGCGTGTAAGTTGAATGAATCCAACAGTAGGTATTGAGAACATCTTCTGGAATATCTTTGGTGTGAACACAATCGATGGGATTACCAACATATTGTCTTGTCGTTATTATTAATGAGAATGACATTAATATCATCACAGTGATTGAGTAATGCAAACGAAATACTGGCGAATCGGTTTTAATATGACTGACCTTTACAAGGTTTTTCAATCCACGAAATATATCCAACATTGTACGCTGCTCCAACAATAATTCTTGAGAGTTTTCAAGCAAATCAAACTGTTGGATGCTCTCCTCACCTCTAAACCATTCACAACTCCTTAAAACCGCCTAATATAAATTGTCGATTGGATGAATTTATGTAAAGTTTTTTTTGTTATTGAGTTTTTGGAACTCAATGATAAATGCAATTGATTAATTGTCGTTATCGCTTTATGATTTTTATAAAATTAAAATGGTTCTTTCTTTTTTTAGCTAAAGCCATATTTCCAGCTAAACTGACCAACTTAGTTTTTCTAGTTTTCACATGTTTACTAACAAACCCCGAACTGATTTTGAATGACTCGACAATGAATTTATTTTTAATATTTTTATGTTGCATGTGTTGATGAAACGTCAATAATATTTTTTTATAATTTCGCATTTTAATTTATGTATATATGTTCAAATTATTTGCTTTTTCTACTATTATTATTATTATTAACATTTTTGTCACTAATTTTCTTCACTTTTTAAGTTCAAAATAAGGCACTTTTCAGTTCTGCGAGATTCGATTTCATGTTGGTTTCTTCCACTGAAAATATTTTGGAATACAAAGTTGAACTCTGCTTTTATTTTTATTTTTAGCTTTGTTTTGTTTAGTTTTTGTTTTAATAATAAAATTAATGTTTACTATTTCGAAACACATTTCTGCCTGCTAAAACACAGTACTACCTTCAGATTCCGATACCTTTTCGCAATCCACACCAACATGATCTGCTCAGTGGGAAGCTGATATGTAAAGTTGTTGGCTTTTTATGCCAACATTAACGCATATATTTGGCGTCTGGAATTGGGAATTGTTTTTTTTCTTAATTAAAATAAATTAATTAACTAAGTAAAAACGAACGAATTTTGCCACGTACTGTATTCCGAAGAACACATCATTTATTTTTACCCAGTGCTAAAAGTATTCATTGTGTAAATAAACTGCAAATAAAAAATGTTGCAATGTTTAAACAAACATTTAAACAAACTTATTAATCAAAAACATAAATTTTATGGACTATGACTCGTTTAACTCAATATTGTGAAATATTCTCCAACGTAATTTGTTTATTCTACAATTTATTCAAACGAATTTTATTTCATTTTACCGAACACCTAAGAATTCCATCGATTGTGAAAGCTCTTTGCACTTGACATTACTTTCAGAGTCTATTAGATATCTCATAAAGAATTAATGAGATTAAAGAAACTTAATGGAGAAGGAAATTTTATTATAATTACTGAACATAAATACATGTAATTATATATAAAAAAAGATATAAACTTTTATTAAATAAAATTGGGATACATGCTAACACATGTGTTAATCCATGATAACCTCACTTAACATGTGTTAATCTTTGATAACCTCCATTAGTGGAATAGATTTTATAAAATAATTATTCTGAAAATAAATAATCTTACAGAGTTTTGTAATTCAAATATGGACGAATATTAATTTTTAATAAATGAATTAAAATATTGTATATTGGTGCAAAATATCCTAATTTGTAGGGTTATAGGGTTATATTGAGGGTTTGGCAAGATTTTGACAAAATTTTTTTTAGTTGTGAAATACAACATTATTCAAATATTTTCGACTGGTGATCCTACAGTACTGTATTCTTTACTATAATTTAAGAAGAGGTTCGGCTCATACCTAGTAATACTTTAGTTATAATTGGATAAACTTGTTTTTGAAGCATTGTCAGTTTGGGGACTACATCCAAAAGAAAACTACTTTGCATAATGTCGCAATATGCGCTTCTATAACAAGACTAGATATTCAAAACTTATTGAAAGGAACGCGAGAGTGCTACAAACCTTACTTCAGTTCTCTTTGGCTGTTAGTGTATCCGAACCTACGTAAAAAAAGTAGGTTACATTACTTTTACTACTCACTGTAGAAGTTATGGAAACTTACAGAAAAAACAAGAAAAGTCACAGAAAAAGTCAGTGACTGTCAAGATTTGACTACCAGAAGAAACAGATTTTACAGTAATACTTTTTTGACAGCGTGTCAAACTGCTCAGCGGTTTGGATGAAAGACTTGTTAAATTACATTGATTCAAGGGAACTCATTTCTTTTATTCTTATCCTTTAAGGTTTCTTGCGAGGAAAGGGGAAGTAAAGTGAATAAGAATCGGTAATTAGGGATTGGAGAAGTACATCTGCAGAGCCGCAAATAAGAGTAAAAAGTTCAGTGATCATATAAGTTTAGATAATAAATACACATCACTAAAATGTGCAATAACATCTAAGAAATATTTCTCGTTCCACAATGCTAAAATAGAACACATTCTTTCTTTAAAATTTCATGAGTACTATACCATACAATTCAGATGGAGCTTTAAATCTACGCCATCGTGTACTCAGGCGAAAAAAACCAGAACCGTTTAAAACGAGAAATGTTCAATCCTACTGAAATGAAATAAGTAACGATCACCGAACAAAATGGATAATGGGGGTATGTCTTTTATTGATCTCTGCTTTATTAATCTCTGCTTCATACCCTAATTGTATGAAAAACATTAGTATTCGTTGTGACTTTTTCAACAATCTGAAGTTTTTGAATATGGACTCTTTGGGCACTTATTTTATACTCGTTCCGCATGAAACAATATAACCAATATCAGGAATATTATTTAAGTTCCTCCACCTAAACTATTTGTGAAAACACCTCTCATACAAAGATTTATTCGTTAATTTAAAAAGAATATTAACAGAAATACTATTTGATGCCGAGATAAACATTGATAAATCAAATACTTATGGTTAATATAATCAGTGATATATTCCTGATCCCAAATATTTGACTAAATTGTTATAGGATGTATAGATAATACTGTCAGGAAAAAAGAATTTCTCCTGACATATAAAATTGATAAAAAGTAGACTATACTGGGAAGCTTTGGAGCCATATTGTGCCTGAGAAGAAGTTACTTAGATCTTATTGATTCAAAATAAAAAAACTAAACAAGTTTACTAGGTCTATCACTATCGCTATTAATGGTTTTCGATCAAAATCAATTTATGGACAATCAAAAATAACATGGAAGTTGAACTTAAAAATAAATCATAAGTATCCTCACAGAGGAGAGAACTGCTGATTGAATTAGGTCCTAACAAATATGGAAATTTATTCATATGGGATCTATAGATTTCGTGTAGAAGTGTCGTCGGCGGTTATATTTAAACGAAAATAACGCCTAAGTACGAGGTGATGATATAAGACAATACAAAGTATGTTCATTGCTATAACTTGAAGATGTTGAGGATATAGGACTGAGAGATTCAGGGAAACCTATGTAGTATTTTACGCTTTCATAACTTTCCAAATCACACTCTGATCTTCAATTCAGAGTGTAAAACGATACAACTTAAAAAATAAAACTAATAATGAAAAATATGGAAAAAATATAAGACAATAAATAAATATTAATAAATATTAAATAAATATTAAAGAAAATATGAATATTCAAATAGCTAAAATGTACAGAATACTATAGGTAAATAAGGAAGTTAGCTATTGATAAAAATTATGTCGCAAATATTATGAAATATATTTCCATCTCTTTCCATCTCTGAAATATATATTTCCATCCATGACGATTATATTGTCATGTTTGTGATTCCTCTCATATATCGGGAACATATCTAAGACTGGGGAATATTTAATAATATTTTTTGATTGTTTGGCTTCTGATTAAATATATAAATCATAATAGTTAAATACAAAATAGTTCACGACATGAAATTTTGTGTATACCACTTAGGTGTAAATAAAAATAATTAATTTTGTGTCAATTTTTTGGTACTAAAAGATACTTCTGAAATGAGTGAATATGTTTTATTCATTGAAAAAATTAAAAAGAAGCAGATTGTATGCATAACGACGTCTAAGACTGTGTAAAAATTGTCATTATATTCTAAATTTGTAATTACTGGGATTTTTATATATGTAAATATCTGTGCAATTCTATTGTCTGACCAAAACTATCAACCTATAACAGGTTGAATAGGTAAATACATTACTATAATTAAGTATGAATATTTATAAATTTACCTTTATATAATAACATTAAATTAAATAAATATTTCTATATCTAGTATATACTTTATAATAGGTCTTTTCTTTTGTAAGCATGTCGCAATAGAACAACAAAAAATAAGCACTACTTTTGATGGCAACTCTGGAAGGACCCGAAATTTTCTTGGGTTTATGTTATATATGCCAAACACGTAATAAAATAATAATTCAGTATAAATTTTCAATACAAGTAAATTAAAAGGAATTGAGTATTATTTGCCAAACATTTGTAGACAGTTAACAGACAGTGGAAATTTAACTGGAATCTAAAAATCGTTCACAATAGTTTAATTGTTAGTCTTGGCAACCATGCGATTTGAGCTGCTCATAAAGTAAGCGGTTTCAAAAAGGTTCGGCTAATTAAGCGAGCAGTGTCGTTGTTTCATATAATATTTTTTAAAAAAGTAATTGTTGTTTTGTGATAAGCTTACAAAACAAAAAGGCCTATTATTATATTATCTACTGTGAAACTTAGCTTTACTCTCATATTTGATTAACTTAGTAAAGTGAATCTTATATGGACAACCAACAGAATACAACCCTGCCTTCTAACGATATTTTGTGATTTTCTGTTATAAGTTACAAAAGAATATTTTATGTATATAAAACCCAATCCCATGATTATCTATGCTAAATATTCAATTAGTAAATATTTTCTTATACGATTATTCTTGTGAATAGTAACATAGTTCTATAAACAGTAAAGCACTTTATCTTAGTCTCTTTCTGACTGTATTCTGAAGTACTGCAACTAAACTGTGAACAATGACAGTTCACAGTTTAAACGCAACTGAAGACTCGTCTTAGTTAGTTAGTTGTGGTGGAGAAAGAACGAATCCTCCTCAAATAGCTAAGGATGAAAGCCGTTTTGAATCCACAAAAACCTCGTAATAGTGGGTAGTAGATAGGAGGTCAAACTAGAACCAACTAGAGGCATTAACAAAGGCAAGAATCTGGCTAATGCTGATGCTGGAGATATCGCTAAGTGAGTTGAAGAAAGGGGCCCCTAGAAACTTAAACCTAGTTCTGGACAGACCTGGACAAAAACACATCAGGTGTTCTAGTGTCATTTCTTCAAGTATTGGTAGACACGCACTACATGAGGTACCACAGGGAAGGCCAAGTCTAGCTCCATGCCGTCCTATGGACCAGTGACCCGTAAAGACTGATATTAACTTAGAAACCTCAGATTTGTTTCTACAAATTAAGTCAGAGGTTCTATATTTGGAATAGATGGGCCAAGTAGCCCTTGACCTGGCTGCTGAGACAGTAAGGGTCCACTCACTATTTGCCTGTCGCAAAAAATGGTCACAAATCAGCCTACGCCCGTAGCTGACAGGGGCAGGGGTCGAAATAGGGGTATACGTGGAAGAGGCGCCTAGCCTAGCAAGCTCGTCAGCGCGCTCACTTCCCACAATATTAGAATGCCCGGGAACCCATACTAGAGTAACCTTGGACCTCTCACTTAGTTCACTGATAATTTCCTTACATTCTTCTACTAATCTCGATGACAGACAGACTGCTGATAAAGCTTTTAAAGACTCGTCTTACTAGGTACCTGTTTCTGCGTTTATTTTAAAATTAATAGCTACAATTTAATCTTTAAAACTCTGGTGGTTTTCTTAGTAGCAGTTATCAGATTTTGAGAGAATCAAAAAAAAAAATCGATATTAAATTAAACTATATATCAAATTTAAAATCTCAACAAGACTGTTTCATTTTCTTCGTAGACTAAATAAAATTTAATTGCATGTATTTCTGATATTGGAAAAGAAATTATATTCTTAATTATGCGCTGACAGCTTTTATTGTTCTTTTTATTGTACCTTCAATTAGAAAT